TTCCCCTCTTACCTTAAACCTATGCCCCTCTAGTTTTGGACTCCCCCTACCCTGGGGGAAAAAGACCTTGGCTATTCACCCTATCCATGCCCCTCATGATTTTATAAACCTTGAAAACATTCGATGTTCAGGCCCCGACCGATTTTCTGTGACAGAGAATTTCACAGGGGTGGGGAGGAGGAGAGACGGACGGGGGTCGGGGGTGGGGAGGAGGAGAGACGGAGAGAGAGCTCCTTTCCCTTTGCAGCTGGCGGGGGGGTGGGTCTGTACTTCACTGACCCCAGGCGTGGCACGGCCGTCTGATCAGGAGCTAGTCAGAACATGGTTGTCAAACAGTTCAGAGCCCGTCGGCCATTTCTTTTCACGGTCTCCTTGGTTTAAAGCAGACTCTTCCTTTCTTAGTTCATTGCCCAAAGGTAAAGGAAATAAATGTAAAATATTACTGCGAGCCTGTGGATTCCTAGCACAGTGGTGGAGGCTGCCACCTTCCCTGAAGCTGGGGTGTTCTCTGAGGAAAGACCGTGTCTCCTGTTAGTGGGCGGCCGTCGTGGAGGGCGCTCGGCTGGGTTCCTTTAAACTTGTTTCAGACCTCTTTCCCACTCCTCAGCTTCGGAAGGACACGGGAGCCCGTATCGAGGTGGAGGACGGTGAGGAGCTGGGGGGAGGAGGAGGAGGAGGAGGTTCCGAGTTCCCGGCTGAGAGGCTGCTCACCATCGTCGGCTCACCCGTGCAAGTGTGCCAGGCCAAGGTGGCCATCCATCAGCTGCTAGCCGATAGCGCCAAGGTCAGCGAGGAGCTGTGGGTCCCTCACCGCGCCATGGGCCGCATCATAGGTAACTCCCGCCCTCCTGTTGGAGTTTCGGGGGGTTGGGGGGCTGGTGCCGGTGCATTAGGGAGATACCAGGTCAACAACCGCTTCCGGGCAACCAATTCCCTCCGGTGTCGAAAAAGACGGACTTGAGTTTCACTAGCGCCCTCCGCATCCACCCGGAGAGTGGGTGGGGCGCTCTCGTTTTTGTTATGCGC